CCTTATAAGGCGGGAGGTTCTCCAACCTCTTGGGCCGGCTTTTGAGGGATGGTTCCCCTCCTTAGCCTTATGCTCGTTACAATGGTGCTTTCGTTGAGAGCCAGCCAAATTGAGAAGGGCTACCCACGGAGGGTTCTGACCATCGGAGGGTTCTGACCGGCAAGAAGGCCGAGTGAAGTGCCGGTGAGTGAAGTACCGTGGAGTGCAGCCATCGAGGGCGCTGGCTTTCGAAGGGGGTGGTAATGTAACAAGTCCCACATCGGGAAGGTCTCCTCACCAAGGAGACTTTATAAGGCGGGAGGTTCTCTAACCTCTTGGGCCGGCTTTTGAGGGATGGTCCCCCTTTCTCAGCAATTCCACTATCTCAACTACTCTCTCTAGAGTTACATCTTCCTGGAATCGACATAAATATGACATGTTAGGATCCCCAAACACACAAAAAATAAAATATTAATAAAACGGAGAGGAAAAAAAAAAGACGAACATAGTAATTATAAGTATATCCCTCCGATCCATTTGAATAATCAGCCACTGTAATCATAGGAGCATTCACACAGCACCCCTGCAAAACACCAACAACTTCAATCATTCACTTATTGGTCAATCAAGAAAATTACCCTATTTGTAAACATTGTTAATTTGGGATTTTCACCGAAGCATCACAGTGACAAGCTGTGAGTAAAAAACTCAACGAAACAATGATGAGTATGATGAGTACTTGCATAGAAAACTATATGTACCAATGTAGTCATCATCACTGGTTAAATTGTGAAATTGCACTATTATATGATCTCACAGCCTTTTCCCAAGCTGGATCAAGCGTGAAAAATCGTTTAAAGTGGGATTGGACCAGGATTGTGGAATCAGATGATTTTCCTAGTCCTGCAAATTGGCTTTTCTGGGTCAGCAACCCAGTTCAGTAAAAAGCACATAGATTTTAGACAAACCATGTATGCCAACCAACAGAATGATGCTTTTAGCAAAAGGATGTACATGAAAATCTATAACAAGCACAAAAGGATTCATTAACTTTAGCAAAAGGCTTCATTATTCTACTTAGTACTTAATAGACACTATCTATGAGCACAATAACCCCAGTTCATTAACTCGCAATCTTGTGTGGAGCACCTTTTCCATTTGACAGGAGTACATGTGACCTGCTCAGAGAATCAGACATGGTCCTTTGATGTGTTTCAAGACACGCTAAAAAGAATACATCAGGCAGAAGGCAAACATACCACATTCATTGCAGAAACAGGGAGCCACCCTCCATGCTGCTGCTGGGCCAGATCCAAAAGAGGGATCACTGCAGATTGCTTATAGTTGGATGGATAGTGCGATAAAATCTCCTTGACCTGTAATTAGCACAGAATAAAATCATTAATTTTTTAAATATGATTATGGGCTAGATACCAGAAAGGATCACATTGAACTAAATATCCATAACTCGTGTAAACATCATGATATAGAACAAATCAATAAGGCATCAAATCATATCAGTCTACACTTTTTCAGAAAATAAAGAATAAAGCTAGTCACACAAAAGAGCAATAATATAGGGGCAAAATGAACAAAGCCGCAATAAATTGCGCCACAACACATGCTCAACGACTTTTCACGTCCGCCAATTTTTTTATGTCCAAACCAACACCAGATTCACTATTACAAAATATGTAATATAGAATATATAAGATGACAGAAGATGGTTAGAACCGTTAAAACTATATATTAATAGTAATCAAGCGTCAAATCAATACACGACCCCAAAAGTTTATACAGACAAAAAACTGATAGCATTGAACTAATAGTCCTCAGCAGTGCCTATCGAAACATTTATGCATTTTGATAGCTCCGGTGAACTACATGATAATAAATGATGACAAAGAAGGTGGCCACATTTTAAGTTCGGGTTCTAAAATCCAAATGCGACGAAACATTACCTTTGCTTGGTTGGCATCGGATAATTCCCATGGGAGGTTAGGGTTGTTGTCCGGTGAGTCAAGGTGTTGTGCCAATAAAAAGTGGATGCATCAACAATCACAATCACGAAACGAAAATCTGAGAAAAATTGAAGCGAAAAACGAAGAGCACTTACGTAGTTCAGAGCGGTTGAGAAAGCCCTCGAAGGCTGAGAAATGGGAAAACCGAAGAATTAAAGAAACAATCAGAATTCGGAAACGGAAGCGAGAAAAAAAGATTGGGAAATGGACGGACAACCTGACGGAAAATTTTACGGATCTCGTTGAAACGTTTCGCGACAAGGCGTGCCAACATTTTCGAGGAGCTACACGAAACAGATCGCAGAGAGAGAAAGTAAAGAGGGTGAAGTGATGGGAATTGCACGCGTCTATAACCTGCATACAAGCACCTTAGTTGTGCAACGGCAAAATGTGTCTTCAATTCATATTTTAATAATCTAAGAATAAGTTTTTGAATTTTATTTTTATTTTTTTAAAAATAATATTTAAAAAAGTTAACATACAAGTATTTAAAGATTCTGGCGGTTTTAAGCAGACGAAAATATCATTTTTTGTGGCGGTTTCAAGTAAAAACCCCTGCTAATAACACATTTTTTGTAATGCAATAATATTATATAAAAGAAATATCCTCTTCTAGTATCTAGTTTTTAAAAAAAATTATACTCCTATATTTGTATTTTTATTTTTTTCACCAAGTAGATAAAATATGAAAAGAATGTATATAAAAAATAACAACTACTTTTTAAAAAAAATATCAATTATCAAATTATTTAAAGAAAATTATTTAATTATTTTTATGAAGATATAAATTGTCTTTTTCATTGTTTTTGTAAGACTCGAGTCTCTCTTCTCTTATCTTTTCATCTCTTCCACTCACTCAACTCCTTCATTCTCACTTCTCTCATTTTTTGCATTTCCTCAAAGGCTGAGCATTTTGGGTTGAAGGAGGTCCCAAGTTCCCAAAGTTGGAACATTCTCATTTTTCTTTGGCTTCTCTTCTTTTCTGCAAGCTTCTTCTTTCTCGGACATGGTGGAGCTAGGGTTGTGGAGTCAAAACTCATTCTTCTTCCTCGTTCATTCCGTGGTAGCTCGGAGTTCTTTCTTTGAAATGGGTTTTGAAGAGAAGTAGAAATGGGATGATTTTGAGCCGACTCTTTGTTGCATGTTATAGTTCTTGGTTGATTAGGGTTTTTTTGGGTAAAGAGGAGAAAAAATTATTGGTTTGATTTTGGGTTAGGGTGCATGTGATGCTTCAAGTGGTTTTTAAATGTTCTGTGTTGCTGGAAATGTTGGATTGTGGAAAAGTTACAGGTTTTGAAGGAAAAATCAAATAGGAGTTTTCTTTTTGAAGTTTTTGGGTTAGTCACGAGTGTGACTGGTTAGTCATAGTGTAATGGCGTCGCGACTATGATCTCCTCAAGTTTCAAAACATTGCTAAGACAGAATGAGTAACGGGCGTGAATGGTGAGTCACAGGTGTGATTGACTCTGTTTGATGATTTTCTTCAAAAAAAAAATTAAAAGGCTAATATTTATATTAAAATTGTTCACGTTGTAAATTCAAGTTGATTATATGTTGTAAGTTGATTTTTAGTTATTTTAAAGTTGTTTATTGAAGTTCATTATAAGTTGTAAAGTTGTATTGGGATGTATGTGGAAAAGTTGCTATGTTGTTAAAGTTGTATAGTTGTATAGAGAGTTGTCAAGTTGATATGCGATGTCTATTGTTGAAAGTTACTTTTAAGTTGTAAGTTGCCTTAAAGTTGTTTAGTTGTTTAAAGTTGTTGAAATTTAGATTTTGATGACGATAGTTGCTTAAATTGTTTATTCAAGATGTTATTATGTTGCTTATTGTTGTAAAGATGACTATTGTTGTAAAGTTAAGATGTTTATTGTTGTGAAGTTGACAAGTTGGGATATATGACTACGATATATGTCCTATGTTGAGATACATAGTACTAAGGTGATAAAGTTGAAAATTGTTTTTAAAGTTGAATCCCTTAGTACTATGTGGGCGGCATGGAAGTAGTCAATCCATGACATGGTTGAATGACCAATTTGAGTAAGGTATCTAGTTAGAGATGTAGTCTTTGACTAGATATTGGTGGGTGCATGATACTTGGAGGGCAATGGGTGGGCTAACTCCATATGTGGATTGGTGATGCAAGCCAAGGCTGTGGTAGGCCCGCATCCAAACCCTTCTGTCCTAACAGTAGTACTAAATTTTCAAGTCTAAGTGGCACACATAAGCAATCACCTATTGTTGTCTATACCTAATTCTCTTATGAGTTCCTAACGATGCCTATACCTGACCTGATTGAGATAGGTCAAACGTTGGATTCAGTAGAGTTTATGCCACCTAGACTGCTCAACCCCAGTTGTTAGAAATCTCCTAGTGGTATATGTGTGACGACGCATTAGTTAATGTTATATATCTATTGTTGTCTATGTTGTCATTTTAAAGTTGAAAGATATAAAGTTGAATGTTGAATTCTATTGTTGTTCATTTTATGTCAATGTTATTTTATGATGATTATTGCTGTGAACTTACCTTAACATGTTTTCTCTTGTAGATTTGAACTGTCATGACCATACTTTGTATGCAAGTAGATCAGGATTAGGTGGTGCTGTGAAAGGTTAGCGGATTCTGGTGAAACTCAGTAGGAGAGCTGAGGCTTTTGTTGTGAAAATTTTGTTGTAGATCGCCAGTCATTTTGTATAGAATATTACATTAAATTATCAATCTTATATATGTATAGGGGACATTAGTTGTTATTTCCTAGTATGTATATCACTATTTAATTATGATGTATTATTTGATGCATTGTGTATGATAAGGGAAATACATGTTAATATTTTTCCCTGATGCTATAGATTATGTGAGACATGACGGATCGTTATAGTTTTTTATAATAATATAGAAATTATAGTTTATACACTTCATATTTGTACAAATTATTACACTAGTTTTTTTTAAATGAATTAATATATTTATTTATTATTTTTTTATAATTTATTTTAACAAGTTTCATAATTTTGTTATTAAAATGAGTTTTGTTTTTATATCAATCATCTTTATCCAACAAAGCATTTGTATCATGTTCCAACTCAGCCTCAATTATTTGAGATTACATAAGCAACTTACCACAGATTCACAAAAGCCGGAACATGAATTGGGGAAAAAAATAGACCTAAAAAATTAAAAAATATATTAAAAATCAATTCTTATATATTAAATATCAACTTCTATCAATAATAATTTTAAAGATTTTTTCAATAAAAGAATTTATGAATTTTTGTAACTTTTTTATCTAAGTCATTTTTTATTTATTATATTTATTTATAAATTAAATATTAAT